CACACTCACCGGACCTGGGCTAGGACTGGGTCTGGGGGCTCCCGGAAGTGGTCAGAAACTCCTACTGCCAACCCCATGTTTTCTAAAAGGCCTGAAAAGCATATACCGCATTCCCCTCCTCTTGCCCTTTGTGTAGTCATTTTGGCAAATTACTGGAAGATGGCAGTTCTGACCGAAAGGCGGGGTTTACATTTAAATTAATGTAAATAAATTTTTGAGAAATTAATCAATGGGCTATAGGAAGGAAGAGAGAAAAGTAAGATTGGGGTCTTATCGAGGAGTAAAAGGAAATCAATAATGTTTTAGAACAGTAGCAGAAAAAGAAAAAAACAGCAAAATATGTAGCATAAAAAGAAGAGAAAATGAAAGAGAAAAAGAGTGATGAAAAAATGAGAAAAGAAACTAAAAGAGGGAAAAAAGGGGTAGAAATCTCTAAGCTGCCAAAAACCTGATGAAGGAAAGATAAAATAATAAAAAACATAAATATAAAAAGCACAAAAAATTAACAAAAAGATTGAGGGAAAGAAAAAACTTCCTGTATTTTTGATTGAGTGATTTCTTTCCAAGATCTACAATATTGGGAACCCTCCAGTCATGATTTTCTCCACCTAGCTTTAGGGCCTGTAAGCTTTTGAGGTGCCCTCACTATACTAGAGGCCCTCTGTCCGCTCCCTTCAGACTGTGGTTATCATTCAAGTTAAGGTGTGTTCTTGTCCATAACGTTGGTAGATGGGAAATTCGAAATACAAAGTCTGCCTTCTGGCCTCTACTGGATGTAGGCCACAGGACAGGTGTTCAGCAGGACCATTGGAGCTGATGTCTACACTGGCAAGATCTGGTTGTTCTCTTTGCTCCCCGGATGTTGCCTTTGTCCAGGATCAGGTTGGTTGGTTAGTCCTCACTTCTGCTGCTTTGTGCCAAGGTAATGCAAGAGCAGGCTTAGAGTAGGTAGATGGCTGTATCCTTGCAGCAGATATGTTCCCCTGCCCACCAACAAGAGTAAAGCCCATACAAATGGAAAAATGAGTTTACTCACAATCCAGAAAAATTGGGAAGATGGCTAATCACTTCTCTGTGCCTTGAAGGTCCAGTGTATAGGAGGTGAGACAGAGGTCAGGAACTTTGGGTAGAAGTGTGATTCAGCTAGGCCCCTAGAGGGCCCATAAAAAGTTGGAAATCTAAAGTCTGCCTTCTGAAAAATTGCTTAGTACCAGGCTGGGTAAGTGTGTGTATGTACGTGTGTGTAAGTTTCTGTACTCAGTTTCTGTACCATAAATCTAGAAAAAAATACTAATTTTAAAAGGTCCATTTTGGCCACTTGGTCACAGCATGAGATGCAGCATGAGACTGTGGGAGGGATAAGGTGACCAGCAGAGGTGGACCAAGGGCTTGAGCAGGTGCAGAAACTCAGAGTCCAGAGCAAGAAGGTAGCACTGCCTCTAAGCCAGACAAAGCTGCCAGGACAGTTATGGAGGCCTAACCTGTCTTTAAAGAGGGTAGCAAGGAAAGCATGGGGCAATGGCTGGGCCTTCGCCTACCTGGACACACCCAGGTATGGACTCTTAAAGGCACTAACTGCTGGAATGGAGAGCATGGCTTTATGATGGGGCTTCCAGTGGGCTACATCCTCAGGGCTCAGGGTGGCAGAAATACACAAGTGAGCATGCTGGTGGGTGAGCAGAGCAGCCAGACTCCTGAGCTCAGGGGCTATAACTACTGCTGAATACCATATGATGGGATGGCCCATCAGCCCCTCTCTGGACTCCTGGCTCCCTGAGATAGAGGCCGGCATTGTCATCCTCCCTCTTCAGGGCACAGAACAGGTCTAGCCCCCAAAGAAAGTTAGGTCTGGCCCCTGAGGCTTCCTGAAGCTTCAGGCCTACTGCCTTTGTCAATCCAGTCTATCCTACTCTTCTATCCTTTCACGGCTCTGCAGAGGTCATCTCTGAAGGCTTTTCCTTCTGCTCCCTCCACCCATGCAAAACCTCTCTCTGTGTTACGCCTATCCACCTGTCAGTGTCTCACAGCTCAGTCTCCCTTTTGGCCCTGGGCTTCTTCCCCTATGTAGGTGCCCAGCCTGATTCTTCTTCTGAGCCTTAGCTCCAGAGCACAGTTGTATTTAGTACCTGAGCGACAGGGGAACACTCTTGACTTACCAGGCTCTCATTGATGGGTCTGGATTCTATATCAAGGCTCCTTCCAAATTTTACATGTTATGTAAGTATCATTCCCCTGCTCATTATCAGTGGAAAAACAGAGGCAGACACAGTGTGAAGAGACAAGAGTGCTAGTGTTGTGTTAGTAACATGGCTGAGACTGGAACCTGGGTCCCTGATTCCTGGCCCTTTCATTCACTGCCTTCTCCAGCTGGGTCTGAGGGGGACTCAGAGGCAGTTGAGTAGCCTCTGGTTATCATAAAAGTCCCTCAGGATTCTTCAGAAACTTGGAACTCACAATTGGGCTTCTCTGGAGAGTGGTACTGTCAGAGCCTGCTATGGCAGCTCAGGTGGGGCTGGGGAGTGGTGTCCTGACCAAAGTTCTTGGGTGGAGGACTATGGTGATCACCCCCTACAGTACTGAGGAGACTCCTCCAGTTGAAATGATGAGGAGAGTGCTCTACATCATTGTCCTCACAGTGGCCTATACACTGAGCTTAGCCTGCCTCTGCCAGGATCTGACACCACCTGAATCAGTCACAGTGGCAGGGCTAGAGAAATGCAGCCCTCTGCCTACCAAGCTCTGCTCCTGGCTCCCATCTGGCCTCCTGTTCTACTTACCAGGAATTCTTCCTGGATGACCTGCTGACCAACATTATGGCCTACTGGATGACAGGGGCTATCATCTCCTCCATGGGCTACTATAAGAAGAATTTGCACCAAGGTCTGATAAACCAGAGCACCAGTAGTAAGTCTAGCCAGGAGCATGGAGCAGCTTGGCTTGTAACTCTGACAGGGGAGTGGAGAAATGTGGGGGATTCCTAGGTACTGAGGGAGACTCTGGGACAAGGTGGCCAATGTCCAACCCTAAGTCCTTGTCAGGAAAGGGAGTTTCAATTTAGGCATGGGTGGGAAGTCCTGGTTTGCTCTTTTCTGAATGGCTGCATGTGACCTCAGACCCCTCTACTGATCTTGTGTCCTCATAGGGTGAAGGTCTCTGTGCCCTCTGGCTTCACTACCTTCCCCTGTGGGTAACTGCCACTTCCTGAGAGGTGGTTGAGAGCCAAATACCCCCAAGCTTCTTTCCTACTCCTGCATAACCTGTGGGGATTAACTCCCAGTTCAGGAGAAACCTGAGCTGCTGGCCCAGGACATCCACAAGTTCTTGAGGCTGGCGGAGACAAGTGATAGATTGTGTGGATCATGGCCTCCCTAGCTTTCCCTTAGGAATGTTGCCCCTAAACCCCAACCCTGAACCCTGAGGGCCAAGGCTGACATCACATTCAACCCAGGCCCTTGTGAAGCCACATGCTTGAATGGTAAATGATGTCACTTTTACAAAGCCACTGGTGCAAAATGACAGAGGGCACCCTGAGCCATCCACATGGGGTTCCCCTTTCATGGGATGGTTATTTTTACTGGAATCCTGAAGACCAGGGGAGCCCAAAGGGAAGTACCACCAATATCAACTCCCTTTCCCAGCTAGGAGCAGCTGCAGATGGGACACTGGAGGGAGTTGGGGCCATGTCTGGGGCCATGTGACTGTGTTGGTGTTGACCCAACCAGGGGACACTGGGCACAGTGTGCTGCCATGCAGAGATGTGCTGGCTGGGTAGACCATGGGGCTACGGGAAGGCACTGTCTCCTTCCTGTCCTAGGCCAAACCCTGGAGGCTGCACAGAGAAGCCTTATGGACTAATATCCACAGTTGTATGGGAGGTTAAGCCCAAGGTGAGAAGAGGCTGTCTGCCTTCCCATAGACGCACCCTCCCCAACCCCACGGGATGTGGGAACCCCATTTACTTGCCTACTGGCCTTTCTCAAAGACACTTTATTAATGGTCACAGGATTGTGACTGGGTTGGTGTTGACCCTTGCTGTGGGGCTGTGGGTGGACACTTGGTCTTTTCCTTGTCACATTGCTTCTCATGGTGAACATCATTGTCAGGGCCAATCTGGGAGACAACTTCCAACACATAATCTTGGCTACAGACTCTGGGGACTGTTCCAGCAATAGAACTGGAGGTGGGGGCTGGTGGGGGGCCCACTTCCACCATGGGCCCACTGGTGGGCCAGTCCCTCTGTGGGATGGAGCCAGCTCTGCTCTGCAGAGAGTGCCTTTCCAGGTGGCCTGCCACAGTGGTAGAGGAAATCGCACTGTCCTCTAGGCTACAGGCAGTGTCCTGGTCCAGAAGGTTCCCACTGACATCACTGATGGTGCCATAGGTCTGCTGGTGCTGCAGGGTCAGGGCTGTCCTCTCCGAGGCCAGACCACTCAGGATCTGGGGCACATAGGGCTGTCAGAAAATGGGAGTTAGTGCTACCCAAAGTGTGTCACCTGCAGAACTTCCCCAAATGCCAGGCAAACCAGAAAACACATAGAACCTGGTCCTAGTTCTTATGCTCATACAAGAGTCAGCATAAAAGAGAGCTTCCTCTAATTCCCAGCACAGGATTCTAGACTCTTACTTTGCAGGGGAAACAAGTCTGTCTACACTGGGCTTGTTTCTCCCAGTCCCTGCTGAAGCTGTCTGGCTGGGGCATGAGTCTGCCCTGCTCCTCTTAGAAGGGTTTCCACCTGCCCTTGGTCTTGCCTTTCCCTGGCCTGGGGGCCCAGGACTTTGTCCTCTGGGACCTGCCCAGGGATGGATGCTGAGAAGAGTGCCCAGCACTTGCGAGAACACTGCAAAGGAGGCCAGTGCCACGCTAGCCTCGGCCCCCTTGCTCTGGGACCCGAGTCCCAGAGCAGGACCCAGAGACCAAAGGCAGGAGAAGCAAGGGGTTTGTTTGGGATATTCTGTTCTAACTGAGGGCCTCAGAGGGTGACTGAGTTACTGGTGATAAAGCCCCTATTCCCAAGCACCAGGACTGCAGAAAAGAAGCTAGCAGGGGCTGGCCTCAGAGTGGGCACATCGTGGAGAGACCAGTCACCTCCTCAATGAGTGACAAGGTTCAGATATCCAGGCTGGGGCTGAGGGACACAGCACTGTCTCAGTGACTTCAAGGCCCTAGGTGTGATTCCCAGTACTACAAAGAGAAAAAAAATCCAGAGGGACTGGGGATTCCTTCTCCACAGACACTAATTCAGAACATGCCTGTCCCATGGCTAAAGATCTCTTATCTTAGGAGGGGACAGCAGCGCACACGGGACTTTCACAGCCAGAGCAGCAAGGGCAGCAAGCAGTGGGCAAGCAGCAGGTGGCTTACTGTGAGCGGTGGAGGCTCCTGGGCTTCTGCCTCGCTTCCTTCCTGTCTTGCAGATTCTGAGGTCTGCAGATAACAGCAAAGAGGTGCAGGATAAATTGGATCTTCCTGAACTCACACCCTCTAAGCAGAGAAAACCTGACACCAAAACAACAATACCAGCTGGCTCTAAGCTCCCAGCGGGTGGGAAGGAAGTGCCATGTAACCTCCAAATACCCTTGTCTTTCCCAGGGAGGGGTGGATCACAGAAGGCTGCTACTGTTCTGGTTCAGGAATAGGTGGAGACACCATGGTCTCCTGGGATCCCGTACCTTGTAGTACAGAAGGCTGAGATGCTGGAAGTAGCCAAAGCAGGTATAGGCCAGGCAGATCAGGATGGTGAGCACCACGGCCAGGAGGGTGAACAGGGTGGCAGGGGCCTGCAAACCTGGGGAGAGATGCCAGTCCTGGGGGGAGCTGTCTGCTGTGGGAGTCAGCACTGCTCGGCCTGCCCTGCAGCCCAGCCTCATCTAGGAGCAGTCAGAATGGCCTCCCCACAGCCGGGAGCAGAGGTGACCCACAGGTCTCCTGCCTTTGCTCTTTCTTGGTGTCCTTGTCCCTCTGGGTCCTCCACCCCCTCCACACTGTGGATGGTGAGGTTAAGGACCACCTGGCACCCTTAAGAACAAACTAGACCAGCTTTCCTTCTTTGGCTCAGTCCTCCAGATCTGTCTTCAGCATGGTATGTCTCTGGAGAACCGGGTGGCATGCAGGTCATGGGCACCACACACCCAGGCCTTGCCTGGGTGCCATCCACTGATCAGACACCACGTTAGTACTTGATGACAGGCTGGCATGGATGGGTGTGGGACTCTGAGGCACAGGGCTGGCCAGGTCAGAGAGGGCACTCACCTAGGCGCAGGAAGGAGAAGAAGAAGAGCCAGAACAGGCAGAGGATGGGTGCAGCCAAGGCCTGATTCACAGCAGCGAAATGCAACCTCTTCTCCAACTTTGCCGGCAGAAAGACGAAGTAGAGATTGTGCCGGTCCACCATGTGCTTGAGCAGGATGTAGATGAGGCCTGTGAAGGTGGGCTGTGAGTGGGTGGGCTGTGAGTGGGTGGCCTCTCTAAGCAGAGAGACAACTTGATACCAGAACAACAGCACCAGCTTGCTCTCAGCTCCCAGCTGGGAGGGGCTTGGGTGTGCACAGGAGGCAAGGGAGGCAAGCAAAATGCCAGGTTATATCCAAGTATGTCTGCCTTTTCCAAGGAGGGGCTGGGAATGTGGGCTGAGTGGAACCACCTGCCCTTGGGGAGTGGCTAGTCTGCATGGAATTAGGGGTGGGGTGCTGGAATTAGGGGTGGGGTGCTGAACAAAATCTGGGCTGAAATTGGACAAAAGCACGTTCTAGCTGCTAGTTTGTTTTCCCTCCCTCCTCGCTTCTCCTTGAGTCCCAGGGAAGGGAGCTCCAGCTGTTGAGCCCCGGCCCACAGAGTATGTGGCCCAGCACTGCTTGCCTCCCATACTAAGCCAGCCCTCAGTACTCCCCACCCTCCTGCCTTCTGACAGTCCAAGGAGCCATAGGCTGTGACCCAGCAGGACACAGAAGGAGGGTGCCTGGCTTCATTTTTACAGGGCTGGGGAGAAAGAGCCCAGGACCTGTTCCACTGAGCTTCCCCAGCCCTGCAGGCTGAAGCAGCAGAAGCAGCAATGGTAGCAGGAAGACAGTGCTGGTGTGTGGTGCAAGCTCTCAGGTGGGGCATGTGGAACGCAGTGGCAGAGGCACGCTGTGCATATGTGGACCCCTCAGGTTGATCCCCAGCATACACACAAGCCAAGAGTGACCTAGTGACAGGGTGACCCACAGAGGCCACACAAAAGCATTTGCAGCCCAGTACGCAGAATTCATTCAGACACAAGGTGAGGCTTAGTGCAGTGTGTTTCCCTGGCAGCAGTGGTTTCTGTTTCATGTGGCCATGAAGGCTGTACCTGAGGGCTGGTGGAAGAAGCTGCCCGAGGGAGTCAGCCGGAGGACCACTCACCGAAGGGTGTGATAACGGGGCAGGTGATGCTATAGGCCATGATGACAGTGAAGATGCACAGCATCCAGGCGTACATGGCTCCAAACTCATACTGGTAGGCCTGGTTCTGGGCACAAGAAATGGTAAGGATGTCAGGACCAGCCCACCCGTCCCATCCCCGCCCGACAGGGGTTGGGCGCTCAGGTGATAGGAGACTCTCAGCCACCCACTACAAGAATAACTGGCATCCCTGCCCAGCCAGTGGAAGTTTCTCAGTCTCTGCCCACGACTCCAGGGCACAGGGATTGGAGTCAGTGGCCATGAGGCAGAGCCGGCCTATGGACAGGTGTAGAGTGATTCCCGGATTTGGCACCAGGGATCCGGAGACACCAGCTCAGCTCCTTCTGGGCATGTGTCCTCGGCCAGCTTAACCTGTACCTCTGTGCAACCAGAACACTAGTCCTGTTGGTCTCACAAGGGGATCTGGAGGTTAAACAGAGTATACTTGCCTGTCTCATGGCACCACCAAGACACAGGGGACACGGGGAGTAAGACAGGCCCCCACGCCACCCAATGTAGCGAGTGCTGGGACAACGGCTACAAATTCAAAATGCCTTTGATACCCAGGCTCTGCCAAGAACATGTGCAAAGGGGTGTCCATGGAAAGGCATGGATTGTGCTCTCAACCCCACCTTCCCCTTTCTTCACACTGGGGATGGAACCCAGGGCCTGGGGCTTCCTAAGCAGTGCTCTATCATTGAGGGCTACCTGGGGACAGGAACCTGGGGACTCCAGGTGTATGTGTGGGTGGATGCAGCCAAACTGGTCACAGTGCACGAGTCCCAAACTGCCCTCCTCCCCACATTAAGGAGACCTTCCTGCAGAGAAGCTACCAGCAGAGGTGGCCCTGATCCAGGGCAAGAAGCAGGGTGGTGGGCAAAACCTGAGCTTGGCGCAGGGGAGAGGCCTGGGGGTTGAAGGGAGTCAGAGTCCCCACCTGCTTGATGTTCCTGCGGTCAGCAGCTGTCCTGGCCATGACCATGCGGAAGGTGTAGAGGATGAGGCCTGGCAGCCGCAGCAGCTCCATGCCATTGCCGATGAAGGCTGAGGCGATCACATAGTTCACAAAGAAGGCCCCCTGGTCCGGGAGGAAGACACATCTGGAAACAAGCCAGCGTATGAGCCTCTTCCCCATTGAAAGGAGGCCGCACACCTGAAGCAGTTTGCTTTCACGTGTGCTCTGAGGGACACAGACACACTGCACAGCCTTGGCTTAGAGGGACTCAGCAGGGAGGAGATGTGCACAGTGTCAGGATGGAGCAGCCCCTCCCATGAGGTGACTGCAGGGACAGAAAGGGGGCTCTCTGTTGGCCCCAGGAGAGGCGGGTGTAGACAGTGGCTCATCTGAAGGCTGGTGTGTCTGGGCCTCCCACAGAATACTCTGGGCAGGTGGGGAAGGTGGCACTGGGTATGAAAGACTGGGCGTCCTGGAGCAGGGGGCTGCACTGCAGTGAGAGCTGGGGCTGGGAGACCAGGCAGGTGGCTTTGTGCTTGCCTGAGTTTCCAGGCAGAAGTATAGAGGCATAGACAGGTGTGGGTAGGGTCTGGATAACCTCAGAGACAGAGCTGCGGATTCAGTGATGGACAGGGTGTGGTACGGATGGAAAGGAAGAGGAGGGCTGGTGAGATGGCTCAGTAGCCTAAAGCACCTACTTAGAACAAGCTTAGCAAAGCACAGGGACTGTGGTTCAAACCCCCAGCAGCACATGCCAGCCAGCCCCGCCCCCTGGTGGGCTGAGCTGG